CCACCTGGGCAAGATCCTCATCCAACTTATCGCTCTTCTCCCGTACCTCGATAAACCGCTTGTCATGCTTGTGGACTTTTGTGAAAGCATTGATGAACGTGTCGGCAAAGTTATCGAACACACCGCCACTACCTTGGTCAGACGTAATGCTCGTCCTACCGGCACGAGACCGCATCGTGGCATTCCAGTCAGGCGACTCGAGGAAGGTGTGCAGAATGGGAGCGCGGCGCAGAATTGGATGGAGGGTTATGCGTGATAGGAAGCGCTGGAGCGAATAGGCACGACGGTTCGTGAAGTCTGAGCCAAAGCGATCCCCTCTTACGTACTCCATGCGTTGTTTGTCGGGCAGCGGAGGGACGGCGCATGCCGGGTATTCTTTGGACAGGGTCTTGGAGAGGAATACGAAGTCTGTGAAGCGTCGGCGGGCGGTAAAGGTGGGTTTCTGGAAGGAAGGGAAGGTTGACTATATCAATGGCAAGTTAGCGATCAGCGGTCATCAGCGGTCATCAGCGGTCAATGGTTTGTTGAGCCAGTGGTCGGCGGTCGGTGGCCGGTAGGTAGTCATCCATCAGCGCGACAAGAGACGGTCGCCAACACATGTTTTCAAAGTTGACACTCACGTTGGTGGTTATCAGGTAGGACACAAAGGCATCTTTGGTCCCGTCGCTCTCCTTGTGCGGTTCCGAGACAGTGCACTCGAGGATGTCGCCCGACAGACCCGGATCATGGCGTTCTAGGTCCTGACCGTGTTGTTGGTCTTCGCTGGTGGGCGGCTCGGCCTCAATGTTCGGCATGGAAGCGCTCGACTCGGCGGCGTCGGCACCGTTGTTGGTGTCGAGCCACGAGATGGTGGAGAAGTTATCTTGATCGATGACAGCCATTGTGTGGGCGAGGTCTGTTCCGAGACGTGCTGCACACGTTGCTGCCTACGCTCAGGTTGAAGCTATGGATAGACTTTGCTATGTATGGGCGCTTCGTAAGTTATTATGTGCCGATTCGTCCGCCGCTTAATCATTAAACCGTATTTGTGTCTTCGTGAGGAGGTATCGTATCTGTACTCTTTATCGTAGCCTCGTCAAATCCGGCATAAGCGATTGGCTAGTTCATAGGCGAACTGGGTGATGAAGCTGTTCTGTTTTGTTCTGTTCTGTTTGTTTGGTTCTTGGGGCCGACGGGGATGTCGGCAGTAGTAGGTAGATAGATGATGGCGGCCTACGTTGGTCGGTTGGCTGAAATTGGTGGGGAAGATTAGAACCACTGCCTCGTTCCTGTCATGAGGTAGCCTCCGGTAGAATGTACCGATTACAGCAGCATACGTCACGCCCCTTTACCGTGATAAGAAAGTTTTAGTGAATAAATCATGCCTATTCCGGGGTCTACTAGGGGACGGTAGGTCCCGACTTGTAAGGTGGAAAAGGCTGTAGTTGCCTTTTACGTGATAACTAAGACCAAACAAATATAAAAAAAACTCTATTTGCTATCTATTAACCCTATTTGATAAAGCCATGATAAAGCCATGGCGTTTTCTTCAATGCGAACAGGAAGCGAGGAATCGGATATACATTATTCCATGTTAGTTTTGCATGAGATGTGACCAGGTAGGTAGGGTACGTAACGATAACTACCGGTACTCCTATTGATTGAGCACGAAATTTATACTCTCCCGATGGTCATCAATGACCCGTCCCCATTCTAACAGCAACCTAAATAAATACACCTCCATGTCTTCTTTTCTAATCGCCTTCTCGGCCCACTTCCGTCCTTGCTGAGCAATCCATTTGGCGTCCTCTGTTCGTTCTGGCGTGATCTGTTTTCGTCCGATGAGCGTGCCACGGCCATCCAGTCCAATGAAGTAGGACATGGTGCTGTGTATAGCATGATACCGAGTATCGATTGGGATGAAATGGACCCAAGGCATCAGCCGCTCCGTAAACCATTGCTGGAATATGGATGAGACCAACGGCACACTATTGGATCGCAAAACCTGCACGAGGTTTGGTGCTGGCCCATCGCTCGTGTCGAGCAACATCACGTAGCGAGCATCCACTTCAGACTTCGCCTGATCTAGTCCGAACTCATCCCGTATACGCTCACAATTTGCGTCTTGACAGCCCTCAGATGGGCCGGTCAATGAAAATTGTAGAGGTAAAATGTTATTCCCTTCCATAGTGGGTACGTACTCGTATCGAAATCTGCTGTTTTGCCCTGCTCCGATTCCTAACAGCATGGGGATGTGGTCCGCCGCCGTGGCATTCTGGACAAGATGTATCAGACGCAATCTATGGCTCCCGTGAAGAATCTCGTGGTTGGCCGATGGGATATCATTTACATCGCTTTGCCAAAGGACGATATCTTGCTTCTGATTGAAGGTTTTGCTGTCGTAGTCCGGCTTTGGATCATGCAAGGGAATCAGGAGATCGCTGAAACTAGCGGTTTTTGACCCGCTAAATAGGGGTAATAAATCCTGATACAACTCGAGCTGGCGGGGAGTGGTGTGGAATTCGTGAAGATAAAAGATATCCGGTTGGTGACAAGGGTCGAGTGCCAACTGCCAATTTTCCAGGAACTGCTCCTTGCTGTGAGGTGACGTACATGAGTCACAGAAGTCTCTAACATCCCAACTTCCACCACTGCGACTAGGTGATCCAGGAGGGCAAGTGAGGGCTTCAAGCTGTCGAAACTGATGGGCTGCGACATGGGATGGAGCTAGATGTGCTCCTCCTCTTATGTTGGTTTTAATAGTCTTCGCTGTAGAAAGGTGTAGATCATTCCAAGGAACTAGAACTCTCGGCCGTTCCTGCAAATTGATGGCAATCTGCATCGTCGGTAGATGTTCCACGAAGCTGGAGATCAGCGTGACGATTCCCTCAAGTAGCTCTTGTTGCGAAAGATCAGCCGGGCTATTATGAGACACTTTGCCATCAGTAATGCTGATTATCCCGACATTGGGCTGTCCTTCGAGGAAATCGAGGCCATCTCGGATCTGCTGCGGCCGTAGACTCCAGAATGGCAGAATATCTTTCTCTATTTGGTCGAACTTGTCAATAACAACCGATTTTCTCTGCCGAGCAAATTCAAACCATTTGTCGAAATTCTGGGGCGGCTTCCGTCCCTGGTGTCTTTCTTCATACTCCTTTACGGCAAGCTTCATGGTAGTGCTGACCGTGGCATGCCGTAGCCATCGATCCTCTTCTATCCGGTTCTTGTAGACAAGGTCGTCAACAGGATGACGAGTGAACCTCTGCTTTGTCAAGCAAACATAAACAACTGAAGAAATCATTATACTTAGTATAAAAAATAAGAGGAACGCGCGTTTTATGTAGATGATGGAGCGCATATTATTTGCATAAATAAAAATGATGAACCCAAGAGAAGTTGCCCCCAGTATGAGCAATGGTTGCGATGTTTGGAGGTACGTGCCTACCAGAAGCACGTTACCAACACTGACGAACAGGCTATATGCAAAGGTAGCAATGGTGATTGGTTCAAGTGGAGATGTATCGCATATCATTAGGGATATAGATATGACGAGAACAGCAACAAGTATGCCGGTGCTCAAGGTGTCGAATATAGATAAAGAGCTGACGCCTCTAAGGGACTGCTGCCCAACGATTTCGTCACGACGAGAAAATTGTGTCACTAATGAAGGGACGCATGTCGCGAACGACGAGATCAATAAGATGCCACCAAGGGTCCGCAGCCGACTCTTAGTTGTTCGTGCCCAAGAGAGCACTCTCGATAGCAGGATGATGATAGTTGCTTCCACGAATAGACCAATGATTTGGAGAAACAGTACAAGTGACCCCGAATCGGCTCGAGAGGAGCAGAAGTACGTTGACCGTATTGTAAAATTACCGGCTAAGAACGCACCGTAGCTGAGGAGAGTGCTTCCAAGGAGCAACATGAAAGGTGAGCCCGCGAGCCATATCTTGAAATCCTCCACTGGGTTTCCCCACATGTCCTCGGGTTCATCCGATTCTACCTGTGGTGCACGATGTGAGAAGAACCTGTAAGCGGCTAATAATAATGGCAAAAATGCCTGCAAGACACAATTAGCTCTATGACTTGCTGGATATGTGAAAAGGAGACAGAAGTAGTGGTCTGACCTCAATACCTGCAGTAGAGCATTGAAAATCGTGCAAAGCTCTATAAGAAATCTCAAGTCTAAGAATAATGAGGATAATGATACAAGGGATATAGAATCGACGTGGTCGTGGAGGTAATGAAGACGATGATGCCTTCAAGACGGCATCGGAATCTACAACAAGGTTAAATGCTATGACGGGCACACTGGCAGGCAGAAATAAAAGGACTAACCAAATCTTCCATGGGTTCCCGGAAGCCATTTTGAAAAGATGCCTGCCACGAACGCTAACAAGCCAGAAATCAGGAGAAGAAGGAAGGATGAGAGACGTGGCTGATCTGAGCACTGCGTCAGCAGGTCTGGTCTGGAGAATGGGGAGCGAACAAGTCAAGTACTAATTAACGTGTGTCTCTGCGAGGAATACACCAGCCATGCAAATGAAGCGAGGAACCTGATGCCTATGAGTCAGCGGGATCGGTTCACAAGGGGTTCTATTATTCTCATGCTGCGCTACGTATTATATGGCTTCAAGGGGTTCGGGTGAGGCTCACCAAACGCCTGTGAACCGCGCGCCACTATCAGGAGACATTGAGGTGGCATTGGTCGTAACAGCTTAGCACAAGGTAGGAGTGCACAAACAATGAGATTATGGTGTTTTTAAAACCCATCTAGCAGACTGCATGTGTTCATTAGGAAGAGGAAGTAGAGACGTGTAGATGTTGAGGGACGAGCGCTGTAGGTAATCTCCTGATTAGGAAAGTTGTTTAGCAGTGGTAACGTGGTGATAGTGAATACCTACAGTATATACAGGTTTGATGCACTGTGAACAGAACGATAGGGCTGTGCTAAAGTGATAAACTAACTTATAGGAGAAAGGGACATCTGGTCACATGACAAGCCAATTAGGCGAGTCACCGGGCGAATGGTCTAGGGGTATGATACTCCCTTCGCATATCCAAAGATTCCATCTTTGGAAAATAGTGTCTGGGAGGGGTCCGGGGTTCAATTCCCCGTTCGTCCAACGACCATTTTCTTTTGTTTATTTTTGCTCTATACCGCTCGTCGTCCTTTGGATCGATCGATCCTGTTTTTGGCTGGTGGTGGTGCTGGGAACTTGCCTGTCAAGATAGACAAAACAGACAGACAGACCTACCTTACCTACCCCTAGCCAAATGGATAGGTATCACGAGTTGGGTTCAATTAATTGGTCATACGAAGCACACACACCTTGATGGCTACCCGGATGGCCACTCACTATTTGATATAGGGCTGGTGTTTACGCCGCAGAACCACATCAACCACTCTAAAAATAACACCGTATACGCCTTCCGTCTGCTAAGTATTAGTTTAGTGTAAGCCGGTGATACAATAGTGAAAAGCTCCTTTTTATATCAATGCACTCTCCCGCTACCATGATCGAACAGAGTTTTCCTTATCATACATACCACTACAAACATGCATTTCGAGGTTTACATGATGCGAACTCAGAAGACCGAGATGCGCCAAACCGCTTTCGATAGCCTACATCAATCGTGATGAGAGGAGTCGGGCAACATACCAACAGGGCGACAGAATTACTAGGCTAAAGCTTATTATATTGTTCAGAGTCCATCTAAAGATATCAATGTCGAGCAACAAGTTACTAGAAAGCACCAGCCAGAAATGACAGTGTTAACAGCCATCTTACACTACCTATGAGCATGGCGAATATCCAAGGGAACAAGACACGCTACCGCAACGACGATAGTATAATCTATAACTGCATCCCAGAGAAGAAAACTTATGTTATGGAACGAGATCCTACGCCTTGGACGTTTATCGTACTTCTGGTTCAGGCGTGTTCAACTCCGCATATAGGCGAGTGATCATTGCATCGGAGGTTGTGTCTATCCAGATCAGAGCCTGCATCTATTCACTTGAGAATGTGACTCCGGTTAATAAGTCTGACTCCTATAGCCGCCTATTCGAGTACACGTGGTTCTCGACGCCGCTCTTCTTTACTTACGGGCTTGATACGCAGGGTAGGAGAGTCAGGATGTGCGCCGAGCATCGCGGTAGGGTTTCCCGGCCTCCATTGTGAGGCGATGGCGAAGGTGACGATGGTTGAACGAACAGCATCACAGCAGCTTTCTTGGCAACCAACGGTACCCAATAACCCTAAGCTTTGCGAATACTTATTGATAGAAGTTCTTTCAGACGAATGACCGAATTAATTGCGACAGTTACACATGTTGTTTTGTCTTAAGTACCAGGTCGGTCGAAAACCAAGTCCCACGAGCGGGGAAAGAAGACAACATTACTCCAGGTCGTGACCCAATCCCGGCAATATGAGAGCGTCTTGCGAACCAAAATCCCATCGAAAGGAGTGGTTGACCGGCTTTCTGTATCCTCATCAGGATAGGGATCGAGCTTACTGAAGCGAAAAGACAGACTTTTAGCTGATGACGCATAGCACCACGCAGAAGATGCCTATATCGAAGGGTTATGGATATGATGCATGGTTATCAAAGCCAATATACCATATAGGGGTCAAACAATCGAGCTCTGCTTGACTAGCAACCGGCATATTATCGCTGTCTCATCTCGTGGAATTATTAACTAACAAGAGTTGTTCTGGTTATTGATGAGGACGACGGCGCAATCAGCAACTCGGAAAGCGACAGGACGCTCTCATGTGAGCTTGTTTCAGTCTGGCAACCTTCAATGATGATGGCAAGAGGTGGACAAATACGACAAGATGCAAAACAAGGAAGTTGAAACTGATGTGATTTAGTACTTATTCGACGCGGTTGCGAGATTTCGAGTCCATTGGCGCGGTCCTACGTTGCTGACTGTCCATGTCAGCTCTTGTTGTCTTGGCGAGGAACCCGAAGAATTGCCCAGACAGCCTAGCAAAGCAGTCTTGCTCATCACGATATCGAACAGGACGGACAACACACGATACACACTAGCCAGCATGACGGTACATTACCAAAGGTCAATTCGACTAAGGATGACTAAAAATTGGAACGGACATTCCCTTTTCAGCGAGGCGAAGCATACCAGGGCAACACCATGACCCCCGAGCGGTCGTCGTGAAGTCCGGTAGTGTACCTAGTGTGCGCTAGCTGACCACAATCGTTCCATCAATCCGTACTTAAGATTACTTGCCACCATGTGATGGAGAGAGCCTGGGGACCTATCCTTGTGATTGGGGACACTACTAAGTAAGTAACAGCAGTTTGCCGAGCATGAAGAGTCAAATTGTTCTATTGGCCAGTTCCCACACAGGATGAATAATATTGGAAACGCAACCAACCTCCAATATAAATGGTAAGGGTGTCTGATTGGCGGGCAATTCTATCATATTATACGCACCAATACTATTAGTTAAGAATAGCTGTGTATCTGGGTGTCCCGAGGCACATCGGTAATATCTGAATACAGAGGTATGTACTAAGAAATTCCAAGTCTTACCTCTCTGGGTAGCCAAGAGCCGGCCGGCATTTTCAAGTTCCATGCTCCACTACACTCTGCGCTTTTGGATGAGGTGATCATCTTCTTGCTCCTTTTAAAATGGAGGTTATGCATTGGAACTGCCATTAAATCCTTCAGAAAATGGGCTACGCTAACTACTTATATCTAGTCACATATTAGCGGTATCCAGGTTGGCAACCACACAACTTAGCGTATACCTAATTGTCTATTGCGTCGACGTTTTTAAATATTAAGTTAAGCTACTCTTTATCCTGTTACTCCCTTCGGTCGCTCTACTCGACCTCACCGTAGATTCACACTAATCGCGTCTGGTAGCAACCTGTATCCAGTGTGGAGCCTACTGAAACGATGCTAGAACAGAAAGCACTTTGATGTTTTGCATGTTGGGCTACATACATACCTTGTGCTGGGATCCTGCAGTCTTATGTCATCTCTCGATAGTAACCTACTCAGGGGCCCCGGCCATGAATGGGGTATAAGACCCCATACTAACAAAAATCTAGAAGCTCAGGATCCAAAGGCGCCATCGTCTGACCACGCCATGACAAGGAGTATGTATCGACTGGTACAAATGCTGAAGGGTCCTATTCAAGGCGAATAACTGTGAAGTTACTAACTTTCGAGAAGACTAAACTCATACTGGCTTATTTAGTCTCATATCCTCTATAGCAGCGTACGTAGATGGGAGGTGTTTCAGCTCTAAACTAGGTCCAAGAACTCCTTCACTACTGCAAAGGACTGTCCCATACAGATCACTGCTTGCCAATGCGGCCTGGTGTAGTCAGCTTGCATTCGCCAAGACATGAGCCAAGATACACTAATATTCTGCTCGGCACCTCCATATACTACGGGCAGTGTAAAAGCAGGAACCAGACAGTCAGCCTCATCCACAAGGGACGCTAGAACTTCTATTTTGGTAGAAATGCGCATCATAACCCTGCACTAATGGCTTTCCCCGTAGACAGAATACAGTAGTTCGAGGAGGCAAAAGATGAGCTGAGTGCAAGGCGACTGAATAGTGAACATGTATATAAGGCTTTCCAGCGCCTCATGAAGGAACTACTTCCTCCCTTGCTCTACCACCCCTCCTACTACATTCATTCCTTTATATTCGGTTCTATCAACTCATTGGTCGTAGTTGTAATTGTTCAAGATGAAGTTCGCTACTGGAGTCGTTTCTACCCTGGCCGTGGCCGGTGCCGCCATCGCCGCCCCCTCAAAGAAGTGCGCTCGAGGAGAGCTCCCTACCACCAAGATCGCTGGTGTTGAGGTTGTTGACACCCAGATTGTCCGGGATGCCCACGACCTGGTCAAGGAGTTCATCCCTCTCCAGCCTTACCTTTACAACCACGTTGTCCGAACATGGCTCCTCGGTGCCGCTGCGTTCAACAACAACGCCACCCTTAAGGCCGAGATCGACCTTGAGCTCCACGCTGTTGGCTCTCTCCTACACGATCTTGGCTGGGACCGTAAGTATCTCCTTATCTGATTCTCAAAACACATGTTTCTAACGGTGCTTTTCAGAGCGTGACAACACTCCCTACAACAGCCACCAATACCGCTTCGAGATCGACAGCGGTGTCGGCGCTGTGAACTTCGTCAAGAACCACCCTGACGCCGACCAGTGGGATGCCCAGCGTCTCGAGCGTCTGTACGATGGTATCTCCCTGCAAACCATCATCGGTGTCTCCGACTTCAAGAACATCGACACCCAGTGGATCGTCAAGTCCATCGGCTTCGAGTTCCCCCAGCCGCGATCTCCTCTGATCCCCGCCGAGTTCTACGACTCCGTCCAGGGCAACTTCACCAACAGCACCCTGTTCCGTGGCACCAACGACACCTTCACCCGCTTCGCCGTCAAGGACCCCGCCACCACCTACAACACCTTCCTCGACGTCTTCGGCCAGGAGTACGTCCCCGGCTACAACGAGAAGGGAGCCCGTCTGTTCGATCTCATCCAGGGTGGTATCGAGCTCGAGGTCGGCCAGTACCCCGACGTCCCTTTCACTCCTCTTCCCCCCGTCACCTCCTCTTAAAACTAGCGCGGTCGCGCGCTCCCTGAGGGGAATAATATTCTTGTAACTATGTTTACTCTTATACAAATAGACTTGAAATGAGGTGGTCAGCAATCACGAACTATTGTCTTCGCCTCTACGTGTTGTAAAATGGTTGATGGAGTTGCGGTCATCTAGCGATACCCAGAAAATAATAATCAAATAGTTCAAAGTGCTCATATCATGATTGAGATACCTACACGTGAAAAAGCTACTAGGTTCTCCACCTCGCGAACCGTCGAACTAACAAGTATGAGAACAAATCGAGGCAAGTATTGTGTATCCATTCTAAGGGAGTGCTTGAACTTGCACGAAATCTCCAGAGGGCTGTATGATCGCGCACTGACTCCCCGCGTTCCAACAACTGCATAATGTGGACCGACAACGAGGTGTGCCCTGTGTTGCATTCTGTGATATATGTACGCTAGCAAAAGCATGAGGGTGGGTATAAAGGATTCCTGGTCATTTCCGAGATGGTGGGTAGATTTAT